TTCATTTAATTTTAATAAATTAAAATCATTTTTTACGCAATAAGCCCAAGTCTTCCTAGGTCTACCTCTATCTTTCTTAACATAAGTCGACTAAAATATCCACTCTTCTAATCAGATCATCAGATGGTCGACGTTTAATGTGACCAAACCATTTAAGAAGACCTAATTTTGTCCGCACTGGAGCTACACCAAACTTCAATTCGAGAGTACATATTTGTAAAATTGGGATTGAAAAAATCCCCATAAAAAATAATTAGAACTCGATTTCAAAATAATCAGAAATTATTTTAATATTTACGTAAACTCTGGGGCTAACTGTAGAACAAAGTGTGAAATCCATGACAGTGTTGTCCTTAGAACTCCCAAAAATTGGGATGACAGATTTATATGAAGAACCTTTCTGTGCTTCTTGTCTTTGATTTTCCACTAAAAATGATGAAATTTAGGTGCTATATGCAGCTGTAGATAGCTAGGGGAGATCTAAATTTGATGAGGATATTTAGGTCTTATTATCATTGTTTTGCTTTGAGATGAGTGTGTGACACCGATCTATGGTCTAAACAGTGCAAACAGATCAAGAGATCGGTTAGGATAACAGTATGATAGGTAACGGAGAACACAGAAGTAATGGCGGTTGAATGCCGGCGCAATTGGCGCCACTTGACAACGGAAGAAACTACTGATGGGTTCTGAAACTGGCGGCGTAGGAGGTCATCGGATGTCTGGGAGAGATTAACTTCATGATCAAATCAAGCTACATACACACACCATTTAAGAAAATACCTAAGGATATAAGACTCCGGTAAGAATAAACTGGATGAAATAATGTCTATTGTTTAAACCAAAAGCCAAAATCCCCTAAATTAGGACACAACAAATATATAAACAGTTATCAAAGTTAAATATTTCTAACTATATTTGTAATAATATAAAAGTAAATTTACAAACTTAGCAAAGAATTCTTATGTACTTACACATCTCACACCTAAACTTTCAAATCTACATGGTAACATTTTGGTGCTTTAATCTATACATGAAAATATCTATTTCACTTTTAAAAAACACTAATAGTGCTATTTTTATATGACATTAAAGACTTGAGTGATGCATGAGTAAATATGAAAGTTCAACAGTGACATACGTAAATGCAAAAAATTGTGCGCTATGTATGTAAATGCCCCAACATGTAGCTCTCAAAATAAAATAGCCCTAATTCTATTTCTAATAATATAAAATTGTGGCCCACAAGTTGGATCGACCAAAACTGCTGACTTTTCCCGCTACCATAGAGGATCCCACACACCTCCCACATGTGCGGCAGACATGATTCAGCATCTTCTGGCACGCTCCCACATCAGCGCATCAAAAAATTTTCATTGACTTTTATCTAAAGGAATGGTTGACATAAGCTTCCAAGCTAACAATGTTAGGATAGTTGATTACAGTAATCACTTGAAAAGGATTCCTTTTTTTAATGATGAGACCATTATTTTGATCACTATTCCACTAAAAGTTCGATGTTCCTTAGTGTCAAGTAGGTAAAATGGTCGAGGTTAAGCATGTAAGGGTGGCTAATGAGTAAGATAGTCAGGACATGGATAAAGCTTAAATCCATTATTGATAGTGAAAAGTCAAAATAAAAAAAAAGAGCCAACGCAAAAAAACACATAATTTTACACAAGCTCGGCTAATTAATGGCTATACGTTATTGCCTCCATTGTGGATTTCACTATGGTTTGATTTAGGAGAATTATGACCTTAACTCTTCGGGGAATTTACATACAAATTTAATAAAGTTAAAGCTTCTAAATGTTCTCCTCCTCCATCTTATCCCAAAGTTTTCGAGTCAGCCTTATAAAACTTTGTTGTCCAATCATTCCTACTAAATGTTACACGATCATTTACAAAACTGAACCACCCAATCCTACTATTGTTACAAAAATATGAAAATAAATAAATAAGATTGGCATTTACATATACACCACACAATTCTAATGTATTTACATACCACACACCTAAGCATTCATATGCATAATACTCAAATTCTTAAGATCATGTCAAAAGTGAGAGACGCCTTTTCATGCATAGGCTCATAGCACCAAGGCATTATGAAAGGTGTAAATAGCAAACTTTGGGTCTCTAATAAGTAAATACATAAGAATTTTGTGGAATGCATGTAAATTTCCCCGCCCCCAAAAAAAGAAATTTTATGGAACCTCAAGGTAAAATTCAGAAGAAAGTGAATTGCAGTGTATAACTTAAAAAGTTGCACTTAACTAAAATTAATGGAGCTAAGCAAATAGTGCATTACCAAAACTTTAAAATCAAAGCACTGCAAATCTACAAAATTCGCTCTCTAGAAAACTTTTTCCATTTTGTAAGAATGCTTTCATATATATAACCCCTACCGAGATGCTGCAGGCCCGTCCTCAACTTCGACAGCGTAGAAGAGTGCAATTTTATCCCTTTATCGATCATATTCTCCGCAAATTTGCAAGCTTCCGGCAGCCGTCTATTGTCCCGCAAATATAGAATTAGGGAGTTTCCAATCCGCTCATCAAGAATCCCCTTCTCGATCATTATTTTCCCTACTTTCAGAGCTGTTTCAGAATCCCCTATATCCATGAACAGAGACATCACGGAATCAAAAATCTCCGAGCTTGGAACGAACTCGTTCTTCACCATCTCGCTAAGCAACGCGGCCACTTCTTCGCGCCGCTTGTTCTTGATCAGAAGCCGAAGCATCAACTCGTAAGTTGTTGAATCGGGAAACGCGCCGTGGAACACCATTTCGTCGAAGAGTCGATAAGCGTGCTCCAAATGATTCAAATTACAGTAGAGAGAGATCATCGAATTGAACAACTCTGTGGTGGGCAACATTCCATTTCTGCCTACGAGATTGTCCCAGAGTAGGATTGCCGCCTTCGAGTCGCCGAGCTCTGCACAAGCATCGATGGCGTTGTCGATGAACCTGACGCCAGGGAAGCATCTTTGCATCTTCATCGTTGCCAGCCACCTCAGGGATTCGTCGAGGCCGCTTCTGCCGCGGTATAAGACTGTGTTGAGGAAGGAATCGTAAGCTGGAACATTGCTGGGATCCCAGCCAATTTTAAGAATCATTTCATCAAAAACCTCGTATGCACGAGCAGAATTCCTCTCATTTTCAAAGCCTTCCAGAAGAATGGCATAGGAATCCGAATCGGGAGGGATTCTGAGACGCATATGCCGGAATGACTCAAGTGCGGCGTATGTGAAACCTCCGCGAGAGAGCGCCGACAAGAGGAAATTCAGCGCAGTGGTATCCTGGGGAATGCCGTGATGCGCGAGGAGTTCGAAGGCGTCAATGGCATCAGCGGGGCAGCTCGCGGCAGCAAAAGAGGAGAAGATGGAAGCAAAGGTGGCGAGGGACACAAGGCCTTCGGATTTCATGGAGGCCACGGCGTCCCACATGGCGTCAAAGAGGAGGTTCTTGCCGAGGAGGTCGACAACAAGGTTCCATGAGTAAGGGGACAGCTGCTGACGGATGCGGGGGCCACTCCAGCGGAAAAACTTGATGGCAGCTGCGGGGTGGGAGTAGGAGAGCTTGAGGACTTCCTCGACGTCATCGGAGGTGATGGTGATACCCTGATCGTTGAGAGATGATTCAATGGAGTGTGAAGAGGCGATGATTTCGCATATAAGACGAATCTTGGAGGGTAGGTTGGGGACGTCGAGGTAGGAGGGGAAGGAAGACCGGCGACTGTCGTTGGGAGGAGTTGTTGAGCTGCGAGAAGGGGAAGGAGAGCTGCGGTTGTGAGGGAGGGCGGCGGTTGTGGCGCGCGGCGGGGGTGGAATGGAGTAGGCCGTCGTCGTCGGGGGGACGCCTCCGATGTGAGAACATTGCCGTCTTCCTCTCTTCTCCGCTTGGAAACCCTAGAAAGCTTCATGGGCTTGGAGAAGAAGGGTTTATGTAAAATGTTTATGTAGTTGTGGGTGGTTTTAAGAAAATGAAAAAAAAGGATATTCATTCGAAATTTGTATAAATGATGAAATGTTTTATTTATTACTAAATTCTTACAAATTTATATACTTAACCTTTAAATTTCTATAATGTGCCAAAATAAACCTTTTTATTTATATTGGTCATTTTAATCCCAGAATTTATATAAATATCAAAAAATAATCTTCGGAGTCTTTAAATTGCAGCTAAAATTGAGCTCTAGTAATTTTTTATAAAAAAAATTTTAGCAACAATTTAAAGAATTTAATCATTATTTTGATATTTTTATAAATTTCTAATTTAAAATGCTCCATTGAATAATACGAGACTATTTTGACACTTTACTCAATTTTTATATTTGTATTTACAATTTTTTTGTGTGATGAATATACTTATGAAAAAATATATATCACTTAAAAAAAATAAATGAAAATGATATTTCTAAGGTAATATAAAATTATTGAGTGATGCATGTAAATATTAAGTATTAGGGGCTATATATATATTATTAAAAAGTTTGATTGTTGATCAACCCCATTGTCTGACCGAGGAGCGGGCACCTTTTCCAGAAGGTGTGTAATTCGATCACATGCAGGGATCGAATCTCAAACTATAGGAACTTACACCAAATGCTGCGACCAATATATATAGTGGGATATGCAAATGCTTAAATATTATGTCTTTACAAATGCCCCATAATTTAAATTAAATTAAATTATTTACATACATACATATATATATATGCATGTATGTATGATGTATGCATGTATGCCATATATATGCATGTATGTATGATGTATGCATGTATGTATGTATGTAAATAATTTAATTTAATTTAAATTATGGGGCATTTGTAAAGACATAATATTTAAGCATTTGCATATCCCACATCTAGATTTTCATATTTACATATTTAGAACTCAAATATTTAATTTCATCTTAAAATATAATTATTATCAACTTTTTGAAAGGGATATGTAAATTTGAATGTTAAGAGCGTGAAATACGTAAACATAGAGAATGGAGTCCTAGACATGTAAATTTCAGATTCCCCGCTAAAATTCCAGCTTCCTTCTCCATGGCCGCGAGGTCGAAGCTCGTAGTACGGCAGAATACTTCGATTATGCTATGATAGTAGTTCCAACGCTGTTCACCCGGCCATTTCCTAACCCTAGTTTTCTTTATTTTTTTTAGGAAAACTTGGATTCCGATCGATGCCTTTCAGGTATACCCTCTGTTGTTCCGAAAACCTAGCAATTTGTGTCTTCTGATGGATGGAATCACCTCTACTGATTTGTTTTCAGATGATGAGGTGTTACATGATGCCATTTTTTATTCTGACTGTTCGAAGAACTTACAATCCCATTACTCGCATGAAATTAAGGTAAAAGCAGCTCTTTGTTTTTGTCTTCGAGCTCAGAAACTAGTTTTGCTCTTTGGAGATGCGAAATGACAAATTTGGGTTCTGTTATATGTATGGATGGTGTTAAGTTGATTGGTTTAGGAGATTATTTTACTTCTGTGACTTTTTTAATTCATCATTCAAAGTTTGAAATATTAGAGAAGTTCTTGAAATAGTTAGGTTCGTTGTATTAATGCAAGAAAGTTCCAGGTAGATGTAATAAATGAAGTTGAATTTATTTGGAAGAAGTAAAATGAATGGTAAAACCATAGTGCCATTTATATATTTATTGATATTTGTGAAGTTTTAGAGGTCGTTTGGTTCTTTGAAAATGGGATACAATGTAACTAAAACAGTGTATTTGAAATATTTTACTTTTTTGTTGGGTGTAAAATAAAATTCTGAAGATTACTTACTGTTATGTTTGGTTTGAGGTAAAATGAATATAATGTGTCGTCCCACGGTGGAAGTCGGCTACATGAATACTTTTTCTCCATTGTGTCTTATTAAGTGTCACATTTTCATTTAATTATAACAAATTAAGATCATTCATTGTACAACATGCCCAAGCCTTTTTTGGTATACCTCTATCTTTCTTAACATATGCCTAATTTAATACATCTATTATCTCCTACCACGGTCATCAGATGGTTGACGCTTATGGTGAACAGACTATCTAAGGCTATTCTCTCGTAGCCATTACTATTATTGGTGGGTGCCAGTTGGCGATGGTTGTGCTTAAGAACCAGCGGAAGTAAGCATCAAAAGTAGCTTGTGTGTTTATTTTGCTAAAGAATCATTTTAATGAAATACTAAACTATTGAGTGTATACCAAGTGATGAGAGATGAAGAATATTTGTATTATTTATTAAAAGAGCGATGTTTTTGGCTTGTGATCATGCTACCTCAGGCAAGCTCAGCCACGTCCATTTGTGACACTTAGCATTGAAAACTTTAATCTCCGAGGCGAAGATGTATCTCAAAGAGCTTCCCCCGTAGAAGATTTGGTTCATGTCCCGCTCTCTAATGAACACCCATCAAGAACAGTACAACTTGGTTTCTTACTCTTCGATGAGGAAATGTCAGAATATGTAGATCTCCTCCGAAGGAATCAAGATATTTTTGCATGGACTCCAACCGACATGCCTGGGGTTGACCCTAAAATAATCATGCACTCTTTAAAGATAGATCCAACTTTTAAACCGGTCGTTCGGAAGAAACACAATTTTGCCCCAGATCGCTTACAAGCTAATGAACAAGAAGTCAACAAGCTTCTCGAAACAAAGTTCATACGAGAGGTACACCATCTTGCACGGCTGAGCAATGTCGTCATGGTAAAAAAAGCTATTGGTTCATAGAGAATGTGTGTCGACTATACAGACCTCAATAAAACATGTCCGAAGGATAACTTTTCCCTCCCACGCATAGATCAACTTGTTGATGCCACTTCCGGACATCAGATGCTAAGCTTTATGGATGCATACTCAGGATACAATCAAATAAAGATGAACCCAGTAGATGAGGAAGCCATCTCTTTTCAAACAGATAAGGGCTTATATTGTTATCAGGTTATGACATTCAGATTACAAAATGTTGGTGCAACTTATCAACGTCTCATGAACAAAGTCTTTAGAAATCTTCTCGGGCGTACGATGGAGGTTTAAGTTGATGACATTTTAGTAAAAAGCCTAGAAGCATCCCAACATACTTCTCATCTAGAGGAGTTTTTCCAACTCACTCCTCAATACGATTTACGACTTAACCCGATTAAATATGCTTTTGGGATGACATCAGGGTAGTTTTTGGGATTCATGGTTACCCATCGTGGAATTGAAGCAAACCAAGAAAAAATCAAGGCGCTGAGGGACATGATGCCTCCAAAAAAATATCAAAGAATATCAAAGAGTATCAAAGAGGTACAACTGTTGAATGGTCGTATAGCCGCTTTATCCCGATTCTTAGCTCGTTCTGGGCATAAGTATCTGTTGTTCTTCAAGATATTCAGAGGTGCTCGAAACACCAATTTTTAGTGGATAGATGATTGTTAGAGCGCTTTCGAGCAACTCAAGGCATATTTGACTTCACCGTCCCTCCTCTTAAAGCCCATCTAAAGAGAGATGCTATATATCTATTTGGCTATTTCACCTCATGCAATAAGTTCTGTTCTTGTTAGAATAAAAAACTCAATCGAGAAACCAGTATACTACGTTAGCAAGATTCTCTCAGATACAGAAAGTCGTTATCCAATGACAGACAAGACTGCGCTAGCTCTAGTTTTTTCAGCAATGAGACTTCGTCCGTACTTCCAGGCTCACGGTATTGGCGTTTACACGCAACTCCCTTTGAAAGCTATCCTACAAAAACCATAAGCATGAGGAAGATTAATTAAATAGTCAGTGGAATTGGGAGAATTTGGCATCCGCTATTTACCGCAACCAAACATCAAATCACAGGTATTGGCCGATTGTGTGGTAGAGCGTGCAGTGTCAACCTCTGATGAACGACCCTCTTCTCTGACACGGTCACCTCAGTGAACACTATATGTAGACGGAGCATCCAGAAACTCAGGAGCTGTTGCAGGAATACTACTCATCTCCCCAAGGCAAAACATTTTGGGGTATGAACTTCGTTTGAAATTCCCAGCCACCAATAATGTTGTCGAATATGAAGCACTTGTCGCCGGATTAAAACTTGTCATTGATTGTGAAGTGCGAAACATGATTATCTACACTGATTCTCAACTCATCGCATCCCAAGTAGAGAGAGAATTCAACGCTCATAACTCACAACTAGTGCAGTATCTCAATCTAGTAAAAACACTTCTCGCCCGAATTGAAACATGTCAGCTCATTCACATACTTCAGAAGCATAACACCTGAGTTGATGCTCTCTCCAAGCTCGCAACTTCAACAACTGGAGATATCTATAAAATGTGTATTGAGGAGATACATTTTCCCAGTATTCATGACCCATGGGAGATAATGTCTATAGATGATTCAGGGGAGCCTTCTTAGATGGATCCCATCATCTCCTTCCTCCGAGACAAAACACTGTCAGATGATGCTACTACATTAATTCGCATCCGACGCATGACTGTCAACTTCATCCTTATAAGAGATGAACTGTGTAAGAATGCATTTGTAGGTCCATATCTCAAGTGTCTTCCTCCATTTGAAGCTGATTACACTCTACGAGAGGTTTATTCTGGAATATGTGAGGAGTATCTTCGTAGTAGGGCGCTTACTCTTAAAATAGTGAGGCAAGACTTCTACTGGCCTACGATCAAACAAGATGCATTAGAGTTTGTGAAAAAATGTAACAATTGTCAACTACACTCTAATCTTACGCATGCACCGCCAGTAGAACTCACATCTTTTCTGAGTACTTGGTATTTCGCCCAATGGGGGATAGATATCATGAGGCCATTTTGGATAGTTACTGGACAATGAAAATTCATCATCTTAGTTGTTGACTGCTTCACCAAATGGGTAGAAGCAGAGCCTCTCGCCAAGGTCATTGAGGTCAATGCCAAACACTTTGTCTGGAAAAACATCATCTGTCGCTTTGGGCTTTCTGCGAAGATTATCACTGATAATGGGATTCAATTTATTGGAAGAGTCTTCACATCATTTTACAAGGATCTTCACATTCAGTTAGTGTACACTGCTGTGGCGCATCCCCAAACGAATGGACAGACAGAGGTGACAAATCAGACGGTGCTCAAGGGGTTGAAGACTCTTCTTGAGAAGACTGGGAGGCAGTGGGTAGAAGAGCTGCATAACGTCCTCTGGGCGTATCGCACCACCACATGAACTCCTACCAGGGAAACTCCATATAACTTGTGTTTCGGCACAGAGACTGTCATCCCCTTTGATATCAGAGTTCCAAGCCCCCGAGTCAAGACTTTCGACTCGGATAGCAATGAAGAAAAGCTCCTACAACAGTTGGATCTTCTCCCAGAAATATGCGATGTGGCTCACCTCATAGATGCTTCCTACCGCCAAAGAATTGCTCTACACTTCAACCGAAGAGTAAAGCTTCAACATATCTCCATTGGTGTCCTGGTTTTGCGTAGTATTGAAACCGCTGACCATGGTCCCCAATGCAACAAATTATCCCCTCTCTGGAAAGACTCATACATCGTGGATGTCATGATCAAGTCTGGAACCTTCAAGCTCAAAGACTCAGATGGAAATACTACCAGTAACACTTCATTCATATCATTTATGTCATATTACATACAATGTCAATATATCTCAGTCTCATTAAATATTATTTACTTACTTTCTTCTACAAAAAAGAATATCTTTAGAAAGTGTAACAGCTCTTCCACGAGTCACTTTATGCTCTTGTCCCGAGAAATACACAACTCTAGTTGTATCTTAGTCAGAGCACAGTCAATCCCAATGGGATTTGATTTGACCTCTTGGCTTAACATCGTTGGCTTTTTACTCCAATAAACAACCTTGAAAAAGTTAACAGTTCTTGGTGGACTACACCTGATCCCTTCCACACAGGTTCATAAGCGAGCAATGCTCCAACAAACAACCTCGGATGGATTATTAAGTCCTCAGTAGACTTTCGTTGGCTTCTCACATACAAATTAACGTTATCAAGAAATACTCTGATGCATAACCCCAACCAAGTTAAAAGCCGCTTACAATTTATTCTCACGATAAATTTCTCACATACTATAACTTCTAAGATATCTTGTATCCACTGTGGAATGAAACGAAAACATTATCATAAAACAATAAATAAAAAGAAAGAGAAGATACTCGGGGGGCAAATGGGGCAAATAGCTAACAAAATCTAAAAATTAAACAAGATGATGTACATGCATCATTCATACAACATCAAAATAACATTTGTGAGGATCAAACAACATGACAAAAGCAAACACACTACAAGCATAAGAGGAGTATAACACTAATCAACGTCAACATTCTCCTCCGCCCCTCATCGTCGTTAAAGAGCACCTT